TTGGGCCCGGCTGCGCCACTTCTGTTGGGCTATTGTAAGCTAAATTGCTTTGTGACCTTAGAAGGCCAGGAGACTGAAGCCCTCCACTTAGAAGATGGACAACAGCAGTGCAGCATTCCCCACCCCACCCCCCGCCCCGTCAGTGTGCTTCGACCCTGCCCTGGGAGGTGGGGGAAGGTGCCTCTGGGGTGAGAGGGTGGCCATTCTTCTGAAAGGGTCAGCAAGGGTGGAAGTTTGGGGAAGTGGACTCAAGTTTACTAAGAATGCAACTGAGCAAGCTTAACGAAATCTTGAACAGAAATATTCATACTGAAAGAGTAAATCATAGTGTTGAATATAATGTTTTACATGGTACTAATGTTTGCTGGCTGAGTTAAACATAGAAAAGTTAACTTTACTTGGGAGTCTCAAAAGGATAACTTGTTAATCCAAAAGGGACCTAGTGATTAGTAGTCCTGAAAACACAGATTGTCGGGGGGGGGGGGGGGGATGTTAAACCAACCTAATAGTGGGTGATTTTTTTTTTTCTTTTTTTTAAAGCCTGCCAGGAATAAAAAAAGCTTTGGGCAGGTATGGCCCTGCAGATGTGGAAGACACCACAGGAAGTGGAGCCACAGATAGTAAAGATGACGATGACATTGACCTCTTTGGATCTGATGATGAGGAGGTATGGCATGTCATTGTGCATAAACACAGGCTGTGGAGCCATAGTGCCTGGACTTGATGCCTGGCTTCTCTACAACCTGCCTTTAAAAAATTCTCACCAGTTACATGATGACTAAAATCACATCACCATCTTTCGGCTGAGTTCGTGATGGATTTGCTTTTTTCTGATAAAACTGGGTTTTTGTTGTGTGATGACTGACCCTGTTAACTTTATACAAAGAAGCAGTCAGCTTTGTGAAACATTGAAATTTTTCTTTACAGGAAAGTGAAGAGGCAAAGAGGTTAAGGGAAGAACGACTTGCACAGTATGAGTCAAAGAAAGCCAAAAGTAAGCTACTTTATAATTACTGTTTATTTTATTTCATGATTGGGTAAACTGCTTGGCCCCAAAGTAATTTCCTCTACATTCCTTGAATACAGCGGTACTTTAAAACCTTCCATAGAGGTTATTCCACTTAAAACTTCCACAGCTACTGGTCTGCAGCTGTTCTTATGGTAGCAGTTGTGGCATTCCACTGTGGGAAAGAAACTGTTACACAATTAAACACCTCTTTCTTAGCAAAACAGAAAGTGGGCATATGTGTGACACACATGAGATGTACTCTGATTTTGTTTGGCCGAAGAGATGGCCCAAATCAACCAGTTGGACTAGGGTGAAAATAATAGTTGTTGAGTGTTTGAATAATGATGATTATTGGTCTTTTTAGAACCTGCACTTGTTGCCAAGTCTTCCATCTTACTAGATGTGAAACCCTGGGATGATGAAACAGATATGGTAAAATTGGAGGAGTGTGTCAGAAGCATTCAAGCAGATGGCTTGGTCTGGGGCTCCTGTGAGTTTAATTTTTTCTTTATGAAGCATCATGGAATTTGCATGCAGTTTGAAGTTTTGCCAACCAACAGGACTTTTCTAATTGAGATTTTTTTTTTTTTAATGCTCTTTTTTAGCTAAACTAGTTCCAGTGGGGTATGGAATTAAGAAGCTTCAAATACAGTGTGTAGTTGAAGATGACAAAGTTGGAACAGATATGCTGGAGGAGCAGATCACGGCTTTTGAGGACTATGTGCAATCCATGGATGTGGCTGCTTTCAACAAGATCTAAAATCCATCCTGGATTGTTTCACTTAAATAAAAGCTTGAAAGATAACCCTTGGCTCTTGAGTTCATTGAATGAGAGGGTGGTATACATGTATATATTATATATTAACTTTTCATTTTGAGTGAAGGAATTCATTGTGTATGTAATTCATAAATAATAAAATTCTGATTTAGCACTTTGATATTTTGCAGTTGCAATACAATCCTGTACCCCAAGTGAGGTACTCAGCAGCAATGCATGGTGCTCACGATGTGATTTGCCGTAATCCTGCATCTTCATGTTGGGATTAATTGGTACCTGAAAAAGTACTGTTAAAATCTCACTTGTAAATATTGTGGGGTCAGTGTTGGGGCACAGCTTGGTAATCCTCCACCTGTACCTGCTCCATTTTTCGTCCATCTCCCTGCTGAAATGCCTAGGAAGGCAGTGATGGCCCAAGTCCTTAGGCACCTATACCTATGTGGAGTCCCACAACCATGGATGGAAGCTCTATCTCTTTTTTTTTTTTTTTTTCCTTTTTTTTTGACAGGCAGAGTGGACAGTGAGAGAGAGAAAGGTCTTTTGCCATTGGTTCACCCTCCAGTGGCCAGCGTGGCCAGCGCATCGCACTGATCCGATGGCAGGAGCCAGGTACTTATCCTGGTCTCCCATGGGGTGCAGGGCCCAAGCACCTGGGCCATCCTCCACTGCCTTCCCGGGCCACAGCAGAGAGCTGGCCTGGAAGAGAGGCAACCGGGACAGAATCCGGTGCCCCGACCGGGACTAGAACCTGGTGTGCCGGCGCCACAAGGCGGGGGATTAGCCTGTTGAGCCACGGCGCCGGCCTTCTATCTCCCTTTCTAATTTCATATTTCAAACAAATTTTAAAATGTTAAAAGGGCATCATTAGCCCCCTTCCTGGCTGTGGAAAAGCATCTGTTAGGATCCTGCTTGGAGAGGCTATGAATTTGAGGTCCAAGTAAGAGTCACACTGGGGAAGGCTGGTGTGACAACCTGAGGAGCTGGACAGGTCTCACAAAGCCCAGGTGGGAGCCCATTGTTCTAGCCATCCTTTCTCCACTTAAAAAGAACAGCAGGTGAGACAAAGATTATGCTGAACCTTGGGTTTTATTTGTGGAACTTTCTGTTCTGTACAAGTCACTGAATTACTGATTAAATCTTTATGATCCTTAGGGTTATAGGCTTTATTTGGGGTTTTTTTTTCCAGAAGCAGGAGGGGAGGAAGCAAGGGCTCTTCCTGCTGTTTGTTTAAAGCAAGGGCTCTTCCTGCTGTTTGTTTGTATTTTGATCTCAAGATAAAAACACAATTTTCAGTTATTTTTGTGGTAACTACCAACATGAATATTTTAACTAAGTTACATGAAAAGGAAAATTCTATGTCTAAGTAAACAAAAATGTTAGGTGACACAGGATGAACAGTGCTATTAGGACACCTTTCAGAGGAGGGACTGAGTTAAGGAAGGCTTTCCAGAATTATAACTTCTAAACCTTAACATTGCAAATCTAAATTTATGCTTTATATTGATATGATTTGAAGCAGTGTTACATCTTGGCACGGAGATGATCCAGGTAACTGGCTCTCAGGCTTATAAGCTGTTCTTTCTTGTGAAGGCTCATACTTGGTTGTGGAGGTAGATGTGGAAGTCTGATTGAACCGAGTGCAGGTAAGACAACTAGTGGGAAGATGGTACTATGTTTAGGCAAGTGATGAGTCATCATAGACAAGTATTAGAAAAACAACCCCATCAACAGCTCATTTGGTATATGTGTAACATTTGGCTTTATTTTTTTTAGTGATTTCTCACAAAAGAGTTTGATTTCTTAAAGCCCTAATTTTGTAGATAATGGACTATAGAATAAATGCTTTGTTTTACGTCAGATTTTTGTAGAACCAGTCAGTGCTGTTTCCTCTCAGTATGGTTGTATGTTGTGACTACCTTGAATGTGGGAAACTATAAAATAGAGAATTTATTTAATCACACACAATAATTGAATAAAATCATCTCCACCAGGCACAATACTTGCATGCAGTGAGTAAGACCAAACCTAAAACCATGGGAAGAATTTTCAGGTTGTCAACATCATGAGGGCCAGCAGAGGGCAGCACTTGTTTTCCGGAGGACCAGAGAGCCTCAGAATGCTGGAAATAATAAAGAGGGCACCGATCTAAAGATGTATTTCATTGGTATTGCAGTGTCTATGAAAACATAGGAATAGAAGTGAGAATATATCAATATGTCATCCCTGCTTTCTGAAATTACAAGAGGGTCAGCCTATCTGGAAGCCAGTGTGTTTATTCTTGTCCTCATAAATCTCAATGCACTTGTGAAGCGGGGGAGGTAGGATCTAATTTTTTTTATTCCAGGTTCTTGCCTTCTACTTAGAGAAGCAATCTAAGAACAGGCACATGTACACAAAATAATAGTTTATTTAAAGGGTGAGGAAGCAAACACACCATGTAGGCGTAGTTGAGTAGAGAGGGAAAAAAGGAGTGGTGGAGGAGAAGCAGAGAAAGGAGTAGCTTGGCACCTCCTTTAGTCTCGGTCTCTAATGAGACAGACCTAGCAGCTCTTCTTATGAGGTAGTACAGTCACCTGGGAGTTTTATGACACGTTCATAAAATTCCATGTGGAGCTTAAGATGACTTTTCCCCAGGTCCTGGATGAAAACAAGGCATCCCAGGAAAGGGGGTATATAATGGACAAGTAGGATAGAATTACATGGGGCAGGGGCTTATGGTTCATGACCTGCAGCTCAGCCAGCTACCTTATCCCATATCAGTTGTACATAACTGATTTTCCAAAGCCATTTTTTAATGGTATTGTAGAGAATTAAAAGTGGGCTCAAATTTGTCGACATTCCGTCAGGATTTCTGTCCTCTCTCTCGAATCTGGGCGGGCCTGTACCTGCTTTAACCCACAGAGGGCAGTGGCTGGGTCTGTGTGCTCGTGTTCCTCACAGCCTTTAAGATGACTAGAAGTTAACACCAGGGTCTCTTGAAGCCTCATGTTGCCCTATAAGAAGCCTGGATACTCTGTAGTATCGGAATGGAAGAGCTGAGGGGAAGGGGTGGCTGAGCCAGCCCCCAGCTGCTGCAAACCTCAGCCAATTGCATCATCCCAGTCCAGCTGAGGCTCCAGACATTGTAGAAAGATGAACCTCCCTGTGGGCCTTGTCTGAATTCCTGACCCCTAAGATTGTGAGTTAGAATAATAAATTACTGTTTTAAGCAACTAGGTTTGGGGGTAGTTTATTAAGCATCAATAGTTAACTGGAACAAACTGTTTCAAACTTCTACAACTATTCATAAATGTGTATATACATAGATTATTACAGAAAGAAGTATATAGCATTTTAAGAATGTCTAATAGGTTACTTGTGCAAAATTAAACAGATTTAACATTTTTGAAGCTAGTTAATCATTTAGTGTTAAGATTTAGGACTTTTAAAAGTTATTAAGATTTTAAAAGTAACATAAAACTTCAACAGTGGAGATTTAATTCACTGTGGTACAATTAGCAAGAGACACAAATCACTTAAGTTGCAGGAAAAAAAAATACACAGATCCTGCCTAAGTTTTATGTTGACATATAAATGTGATGCCATTAAACTGACCAAAAACAACAAATATATGGTCAGTTCTGTATCTTGGAACCAAATATAATGTGAAAGCATCTGTCAAGGGACCCACACAAAAAGCCTTATACTGATTTGTGGAAAAGTCATAACTTACTGGGCTGTTTCCAAGAGACATAGATTCTTGGTTTCAGAGTTTCTGAGTTGTTCACTCACTGTGCCAGAACAGCTGACTTCCCACAATGTATGCTTTAGTATCTCAGCAACTGAGGCCTGGAAGCAAACTTGGAACTTCTTACTAATGAGGACGTAAAGGATGGGGTTCAAACAACTATTGAGGAATGCCAAACCTGTAGAGAGGGGGATTCCAGCTTGCAGCACCTCGTGGAAATAGCTGTTGTGGTGAATGGTGAGCTCCCAAATGCTAAACAGATGATAAGGAGTCCAGCAAATCAAAAAGGCCACAACCACAGCCAGGATGGTCCAGAAATGCCTACTGGAGATCAGGATGCTTCGTTTCTTCACCTTGAAGATGAGGCACAAGTAGCAAACACTCATTGTTAGCAAAGGGAACAGGTACCCGACAATAAATTTCACCCAGGTCAGAACGTGGTGCCTCATCTTAGTGAGGTCAGGATCATGCTCATGAAAATTGTTAAAGCAAAGGGTGTGGTTATTGAACTCTAGAGTATCCCGGAAGTATAGGGCAGGACCACCAATTAGAGAAGCCAAAAGCCACACAAATATGATAACAACCAGGGAGTTTTTGAGGGTTCGGTGCCGATGAGACATAACAGGATGGATCAAGTGGATATAGCGGTCCAGGCTGATCACTGTCAGGAAGAAAACACTGGCAAACATGTTCAACTGGGCAATGAAGGAATTAGCCTTGCACAACCAGATGCCAAAGGGCCAGTGGAAATTCATGGCCACATAGGAGATGTACAGGGGCAGGAAGAGAACAAAAATGAAATCCGCAACGGCCAGATTGAGGAACCAGAGAGTGGTGACTGTCTTTTTCCACTTGAATCCCGTGAACCAAATGACAGTGGCATTTCCTGGAATTCCCAGGACAAACGCTATACAATATAACACCAAGGAGACCCAGTGAGCAGCTCCCAGGTGGGTCTTCTCCTCCAATTCAGACTCCGGGGTGTAATATTCCAGGGCATAGGAATAGTTGTCAAATTCTTCAAAGAATGTTTCCTCCAGATCTTCCATCACCTTGCTAAGTGGAGAATGAAGAAACCTGCAGGAGCAGATTTAAGAAGAAGAAAAAATCCTAAGAAAAGAAAAATTTTAAGTTCAGTGCGTAGCGAGGAAGATTAAAACAAAAACATGCCACCTTAACAGCTGAACATAATCTATTTCTGGGTGGGACCTGTGATTATATTAAAATTGTCAAAGTTTTGATGGGCCTCAGTTTCATTCTGATTATTACTCTAAAAGCTGTGAGTTTGTTTTTATAAGGCATTTAGTAATTGATAAAATGATTGGATACTACAGCTACAGTCTCTGTGTTTGTAATGCTTGTAGGCCTGACTAGAGAGAAAATTAACATTCAACAAGCATTTATTAGGTCCCACTGTGCATGAGTATTTTTTGGCAAATGCAAAAGGAAACAGATTAATACTCAACACAGTGATGACTTTCAAATCCGCTTGAAGCCATGACTTCTCAAGCTGTAGACAAAGAATTCCAGCTGCTTTCTAGACCCACCCAACTGATACAACAGGTAAGCATGGGAGATTTTAATCCCCATTTCCTATCCAAGGATGCTTTGATTGTAGGTTTATTATTCAAACATGTTAATCAGAATTTTATATATATGTGTGTATGTGTGTACATTTATATATATATAAAAGTTTGCATGACTTTTCATACAAAAGGTGTGTTTTATGATAAAGTTGATTATGACCACATAATTTGTATATTCATCTCCCACAGAATAAAACTAAATATTTAAATTTTATTTTACTGCAATTCCTTTGTTCTTAAATTAATTTGGGTAAATTCTTTTTTATAATAATTTACAACAAAGATTTATTATCAGTTTTACTTTATTTATATCCATATCACATTTTATCTATTAGGCTCATAATTTCTCCCAAACTGTTTTCTTTTGTGGCATCCTAGTTTTTTTATTTTTTATCTTACTAAGGCCACTTTTTCCTAGGCAAATCAGACTTGGATGTCAGTTTTTCAATCAAAACAAAGTTTGCTGAGTACACTCTGGATTCTTCAATTTTCTTGGTGATTTATTTATTTGAAAGGCAGAGTTAGAGAGAGAGGGAGAGACAGAGAGATCTTCCATCCGATGGTTCACTCCCCCAATGGCTGCCACAGCCAGGGGCTGGCTTGGACAGGGCCAAACCCTGGAACCAGGAGCTTCTTGCAGGTATCCCATATGGATGCAGGGGTCTTAGCACTTGGACCATCTTCTGCTGGTTTCCCAGGCGCATTAGCAGAGAAGTGGAGCAGCTGGGACACAAACTGGCACTCATATGGGATGCCAGAATCACAGGTTGAGGCTCAACCTGCTTTGCCACAAGGCCAGCCTTCTTGGTACTTTTTCCTCTGCCCCTTATGCTTATCCATAGCCCTGCTCATTTCTGCCTTACTCAGAATTCTGCTCTCAGGGCTCCTGCAGCCTCATGACATTTCTCTGTGCTTCCACTCCTCTACCCTCTGCTACTGCTGCTGCTGCAACAGCCAGTCTGGAGGACTTTGTTCAGCACCCCGAGCCTTGCTGAGTACAGCTCTGTTCTGGCCCCTTCACAAACTGCTGGTCACCTGGTAGCTTAACCCACTGCACCACAATGCCAGCCTCTAATTTTTTTTCTTAAAGATTTATTTTGAAGGGCTGGCATTGCTGGCATGCCATATGAGCACCAGCTTGAATACCAGCTGCTTCATTTCTGATCCAGCTCCCTACTAATGTGCCTAGGAAAGCAGCAGAGGATGGTCCAAGCACCTGGTCCCTTACCACCCATGTGGGAAAGATGGAGGTCCAGGCTGACGGCTTTGGCCTGGCCCAACCCATGCATTGTAGCCATTTGAGGAGTGAACCATTGGATGAAAGATCCAATGTGTGTGTGTGTGTGTGTGTGCATATGTGTGTGACTGAAAGCTGAGTGACAGAGGGAGAGACAGGGAAAGAAGAAGATCTCTCTGAACTCTGCATGTCAAGTAAATAAAATAAATCTTTAAAAACATAAAGAATTGGAGCCAGCACTGTGGCACAGCAGGTTAAACTGCTGTCGGCAATGCCAGCATCCAATATGGGTACCAATTGAAGTCCTAGCTGCTCCTCTTCCAGTCAAGCTCTCTGCTAATGCACCTGAGAAAGCAGCAGAGAATAGCCTAAATCCTTGGGCCCCTGCACCTATGTGGGAGACCTGGAGGAAGCTCCTGGCTCCTGGCTTAGGCCTCGCCCAGCCCTGGCTGTTACAGCCATTTGAGGAGTAAACCTTTGGATGGAAGATGTGTCTCTGTCTCTGTCTCTCTAACTCTTTCAAAGAAAGAAAGAGAGAGAGAGAGAAAGAGAGAAAGAGAGAGAGAAAGAGAAAGAGAGAGAAAGGGAGAAAGAGAGAGAGAAAGAAAGAGAAAGAAAGAAAGAAAGAAAGAAAGAAAGAAAGAAAGAAAGAAAGAAAGAAAGAAAGAAAGAAAAAAGAACGAACGAAAGAGAGAGAGAGAGAAAGAAAGAAAGGAGGGAGGGAGGGAGAGGGAGTCAAAGCATCCTATGCTGCCCACAGGCATCTCAAACATAACTTCGGGGTGGGTGTTGTGGCTCAGCTCAGCAGGTTAAGCTGCTATTTGGCTTGCTTGCATCCCATATCAGAGTGCCTAGAATTGAGTCCCAACTCCACTTCCCATCCAACTTCTTTTAATGTCCCTGGGAGGCAGGAGATGATGGCCCAAGAACTTGGGTTCCTGCCATCTACAAGGAGACCCATATTCTTGGTTCCTGTCTTTGGCCTGGCCCAGCTCTGGCTGTTGCAGGCATTTGGGGAGTGAACCAGCTAATGAAATATCTCTCCTTCTGTCACTTTACCATTTAAATAAATAATTAAATAAATTTCAAAAAGAAACTTCCTATCACTGAATTCATCATCCTACATAAAACCTTTTAAGAAATCTGGAAGGGCATAATTAAAAAACAAGTGCAAATGGTTCAGGAGTGGAGAGGTGCAGTTGGATAGCAGAAATGATGTCTAATGTTCTGTAGCAGAGTAGGATAACTATGGCTGGCAACACTTAATTGTGTGTTTCAAAATACTTACTAGAGAGGATTTGGGATGTTCCCAAGACAAATGGTAAATGTCAGAGGTGACACATATGCCAATACCCTTATCTGATCCTTAAACATTGTAGACATGTATTGCAATGTCACACTGTACCCCATAAATATGTACAATTTCCATGTATCAATTAAAAATAAAAATAAAAATTCAGGGGTGATCATTTGGCCTAGCAGTTAAGACATTGGTTAGGATGCCCACATCCTACATTAGAGTACTTGGATTCAATTCCTGGCTCTAGCTCCTGACTCCAGCTTCCTGTAATGTAAGCCTTGGGAGGTAGTGGTGATGGCTCAAGAAATTGGGTTTCTGCCACCCATGTTTGAGACCTGGATTAAGTTCTAGCCTCCCAGTTTCAGCCCCTACTGAGAAGTTAACCAGCAGATGGGAATGTTCATATATACTCTCACTCTTTCTCTCTCAAATGAATAAATAATTTGGGAGAAAAAAATCCTACACATACAAGCAATTCATTAGCTTCTTCCTAACCCCAGACCCAGCCAACCTCTCTGTTCTTCAAAATTTAACTCAAATGCCACCTTTTTCTTGGATTCATTTCCTGATTTTAACTTTCCACAAATAACTGTAATAATTCTCATTATTATTATAAATAATTATCAATGTTATTGGAAATTTACTGGCTACCAGGCATGTATGATCTAATTGGATCCTCCTCACTATCCTATACCATAGGTAAGTACTAGTATTCCCATTGACAAAGGGAACTGAAGCCCAGAAAAGCTTAGTGACTTATCCCAGGTCACTCAACCTGCAATTGTAGAATCAGGATCTAAACTCAGATGTGTTGGATCTAGAATCTGAGTTCTTAGCCACTGAGGTTTCCTCCTTCTGTCATACCTCTATTATACCTAACAAACTGTATTGTTATGGAGCTTTTTTTTTTAAGGTTTAATCTATTTTTCCATTTATTTGAAAGATGGAAAAATCGTCCACCCATTGGCTCACTGCCCAAATGCCTGCAAAAGCCAGGGCTGGGCCAGGCAGGAGCCAGGAGCCCAGACCTCCATTCATGTCTCACATGTGAGTGATAAGGAAGCCATAACCTGCTTCCTTCCCAAGATGCGCATTATCAGGAAGCTGGATTAGAAGTGGAGTAGCCAGGACTCAAACCAGGCACTCTGATAGTGTGCATTCCAAGCAATGTCTTCACCACCGTGCCACATTCCTACTCCTGGATTTATTTTTAATTTCTCCCTTACCAGACTGTGATTTCCTTAAGAATAATAACCATCATCTCTGCACCCTGCAGTGCCTAGTACAAGTCTGAATTTATCACAGGCACTTAACATTTAATAAATGATCGGCTGTGCTGTGAATCCTGTTCAGAACCATAGCTGCAAACGAGAAATTGTGAGTTCACTTCTAAATCAATGTCACAGCTAGAGTCTCTAACCTTCACTCACCCCAGAGTCTTGGCTTTTTCCTTGCCAGGAATCCTTTCCTTTGTGTGCCCTACTCCAGTGAGCAAAATTTGGCTTCTGCCCTGAGGCCTGGGACCCAGCCCTCTCACTTATTCTGGTGGCTGATTCTCCCTAGTGTCAACACTTTCCTTCCTGGTACCTATGAGCACTTCTTTCAGACTCTTAGCAATTGTGAGGCCAAATGGCCTAGGTGGTGGTGATCTGAATTATTTTATAAAATTTTAAGTGGTAAATAGAGGACCCTCATCCCCCACCCCCACCCCCCCCAAAAAAAAAAAAACCCTGAAAAGATCCCTGATAGCCCGTGATCACCATGCCTCTCGCAGAGTCATTGCTCTCACTGCTAGAGAGCATGAACACCACAGCGCCTGCTGAAAGACATCAACCACTCTCTCCCCCACTCTCCTTTGGCAAAGCATGTGGATATCTGGAGGAAGAGTGATCTGCCTGAACCCAATTCCTTCAAGCAAAAGCCCGTACCACGAAGGAGAGGGTCATAAATAAGTACGATCCAAGGGCCAGTTCAGGCTTGGAGAAAAAGCTCCCAGATGAGTTGGCCTAATGGAATCCTGCTTGAGAAACAGAAGCTAGGAATTTTCCTTCAACTTGGAGCAGATGTATTTGTGTGATGGCGATGGTGAAGGGTTGGGATGGCGTGCAGAAAAGAAGAAATGCATAATTTAGGCACTGTCCTATGGAGTCCTTGAGCAGACAGGTAACCCTTTCATGACGTATGCTTGTTTAATCATTATATTTTGTATATTACTTTATAATTTATGAGTATTTCCAAATCTAATTAGGTTTCCAAACCTAATTTAGAACTGCCCAAACATCTATAGATTAATTGTATTTGTTTCCTAGACTCACATAACAAAGCACCATAATCTGGATGGCTTAAAATAACCAAAATGTAGTATCACAGTCTGGAAGCTAGCATGGTTGATTATTATGGTCATTTGAAAGGCAGAGAGACAAAGAGAGCTCCCATCGGCAGTTTACTCCTCAAATGCCCACAACAGTCAAGACTGGGCCAGGCCAAAGCCAGGAGCCAGGAACTCTCTCCAGGTCTCCCACATTAGTGGCAGGAACCCATGTACTTCACCCATCACCTGCTGCCTCTCAGAGTGCACACTAGTGAGAAGTTGTATTGGAAGTGGAGGAGCTAGGACCCACACCAGGCATTCCAATATGGGATGCTGTTTTCCCAAGTGGTAACTTAAACACTTTTCCAAACACCCAACTCTGGCAAGGTGTTTCTGAGGGCTGTGAGGGAGAACCTGTGCCATGCTTGTGGCTTGCTGGAAAACTGGCATCCTTGGATCATACAAGTGTTATCCTATCTGGGTCTTTATCTTCACATGGTATTCTCCCTGTGTGACTGTCTGTGTCTGTGTCCAAATTTCCAGCTTTGACAATAAGGACATTAGCCATATTGGATCAGGACCCCTTATGAAGACCTCATTTTAACTTGATTACCTTTGTGAAGACCTTATGTCAAAGAATGTCATATTCTGGGACTGGCAGTGTGGCATAGAAGGCTAAGCCTTCACCTGCAGTGCTAGCATCCCATTTGGGTGCCAGTTTGAGTCCTAGCTGTTCCACTTCTGATCCAGCTCTCTGCTAATGATTCTGGGAAAGCAGCAGAGGATGGCCTGAGTGCTTGGGGCCCCTCACACATATGAGAGACCCAGAGACGCTCCTGGCTCCTGGCTTTGGACCTGCCCAGCTCTGGCCATTGTAGCCATTTGGGGAGTGAACCAGTGATGAAAGATCTCTCTCTCTCTCTCTCTCTCTCTCTCTCTCTCTCCTTCTCCTTCTCCTTCTCCTTCTGTATTTCTTTCTTTCAAATAAATAAGTGAATCTTTAAAAAAAAAAAAGTCACATTCTGAGATACTGGGGTTTGGGATCTGAACATACCTCTTTTGGAGGGTTCAAGCATTCAACCCGTAACAGTAACCCAGTTTTGTTGCTAACTGCTGATCACTCATGCATTCAGGAAACATCCCATAAGTACTTACCTTTGCTAGGCACTGGCAAATGTGGATGATTGGTGTTCTTCACTCAGTAAGACAACTATTTCTTCCCTCTTCAATTTTAAATTCTAGCAGACGGAGATGGACAGTAAAAAATAAACATAATTTAAAAAGTAAATTACACAGTGTATTAAAGTGAAAGATGAAAAAATAGAATGAGTCAGGCATTTAGTATAGTGGTTAAGGCTCCACTTAGGACTCTTGTATCCCATATGCCTGGTTCGAGTCCTGGCTCCATTTCCCATCCAACTTTCTGCTAATGTGCACCCTGGGAAGGCAGCAGATGATGGCTCAAATACTTGAGTCCCTGACACCGACATGGGTGATCCAGGAGTTCCTGGCGTACAGCCCTGGCATAGCCCTGGCTGTTGTGGGCATTCAAGGAATGAACCAGCAGATAAAAGATCTCCCTCTCTCTCTTTTTAAAAGATGTATCGATTTATTTGAGAGGCAGTTACAGAGATGGAGAGAGAGATCCTCCATCTGCTGGTTCATTCCTCAAATGGCCAAAATGACCAGGGCTGGGTCAGGCCAAAGACAGGAGGCTAGAACACCATCTAGGTCTCCCACATGGGTAGCAAGGGCCCAGGCACCTGAGCCATCCTCTGCTGCTTCCCCTGCTAATGTTCCTGGGAGGCAAGGAATGAGTACTTGGGTTCCCACCACCCTCATGGCAGATCTGGGTAGTTCCCAGCTCCTGCTTTGGTCTGCCCCAGCCCTGGCTATGGTAGGCATTTTGGGAATGAACTAGCAGATGGAAGATTTCAACTCTATCTGTCACTCACCCTTTCAAATATATAAGTAAATAAATATTAATAAAACAAAAACAAACCAAAAGCCATCTGTGGACCACATTTAACTCAGCTGCTAATTTGAGCCTTAGGGGACATGAGGAAGCTTTATGATAAATGGAAATTCTTTTAAATTGGACTTTTCCCTTATAGAAGAAGGAAAGACTTGCTCCTTGCTCCTGTGGGGGCAATAACAAGCTTATTTATTTATTCATTTTTTAAGATTTACTCTTTCATTTGAAACACAGAATCACAGAGAGAAGGAGACCTTCCATCTGCTGGTTCACTCCCTAAATGGCCACAACAGCCAGAGCTGTTGTCTCCCACATAAGCACAGGGGTCCAAGGACCTGAGCTGTCATCCACTGTCTCCCAGGCACACCAGCAGGGAGCTGGACTGAAAGGACACGAATACTTCATTTTTATTGTATTTTTCTTTACTGTGCTTTGCAGATATTGCATTAAAAAAAAAAACTGAAAAGGCAATCCTCTATTGAACAAGTCTATTGGCACCACTTTGTCCAATACTTCAAAGAATTGTTAGCAATTTTAACAATAAAATATTTCTTTTTTTAAAGGAATTCTTTTTTTATTTTGACAGGTAGATTTATAGACAGAGAGTGACAGAGAGAAAGGTCTTCCTTCCGTTGGCTCACTCCCCAAATGGCTGCTATGGCTGGAGCGCTGCGCCGATCCAAAGCCAGGAGCCAGGTGCCTCTTTCTGGTCTCCCATGCGGGTGCAGGGCCCAAGCACTTGGGCCATCCTCCACTGCATTCCTGGGCCACAGCAGAGAGCTGGACTGGAAGAGGAGCAACCAGGACTAGAACCTGGCACCCATATGGGATGTCGGTGCCACAGGCAGAGGATTAGCCAAGAGAGCAACGGTGCCGGCCCCAACAATAAAATATTTCTTAAAAACTTATTGGAGAGGCTAAGAAAGGGAGAGTAAGAAAGAGAAAGCAACAGTTAGAGATCCCATCTGCATTTATTCTCCAAATGCCCACAGTGGATGGTGCTGTGCTGGGGGTGAAGCAGGGAGACAGAAACTCAATCCAAGTCTCCTAGGAGAGTTGCAGAGATCCAAGTACTTGAGCCATCACCACTGCCTCCCAGGGTCTGTACTGGAAGGAAGCTGGAGGTAGAAATCAGAAGTGGAGACTGAACCTAGGTACTCAGATATGGAATGCAGGCATTTTAACCACTGAAGCTAAACATCTGCTCCGATATGTTTTCATTTGTATTTATTGATTTGAGGAGGGGGGTGAGAGAGAGAGAGCAAGAGAGAGAGAGAGAATGAATCTCTCATCCATGGTTCACTCCCCAAATGCCCAAAATGGCCAGGACTGGGCCAATCAAAGCCAGGAGCCAGGAACCAGCCTAGGTCTCCCACATTGAATGGCAGAGATTCAAGTACTTGAAGCATCACCTGCTGCCTCCCAGGGTCTGCAACATCAAGAAGCTGGAATCAGGAACAGAGTCAGGACTTGAACCAAGGCAGGCCCTCCCAGATGGGATAAAGTCATCCCAACCAGCATCATAACTGATAGAGGAAACACCCACTTCTCCAATAAACTATTTTGTAATTAAGGAATATATGGGATTTTTAGACATAATGCTATCACACACTTAATAGACTATAGTGTAAATACAACTTTCATATGCACTAATAAACCAAATAATTCCTATGACTCGCTTTACTGCAATGGTCTGAAACTGAACCCATGACATCTCTAAGCTTGCACACACATATACATATGCATATATGTACATATAGTTTTTTGAGCAGTAATGGGAGGATGTGAAGGCTCAGAGGTGGACTGAAGGGATGTCTGAGGAAGTCTGTTGGACAGTCACCAGAAATCAAGATGGAAAATAGGTGGACATCAGGTTTTTAAACTCAGGTTTAAGGGAAACATTGCCATTTATTAAACAAGCAAAGTCAAGTAATCTTGGCTGGCAGTAACTTTCCATTGAGATGTCAGATTTCTCAGTTTGGAAGAGCATGATAACAATGTCAGGCTGAGGCTTTTACACTTGTCAGAGAGAGGGAAATAGCTACTGTATTTGCCAAACTATAGATGCTGCTGCAGGGCAGATAAATAATTCTGACGGCAATAAAGACTTTTAATAAAGATCTCCATGGTCTTAAAATCTGTGAATAGGCACTCTAATAACTACCAAGCTGCACTGTGGACACATTATGTCCACTCAAGTCTATGAGAAACATGTCAAAAATATTTAGTGTGGGGCAAAGTTTAGAGAACCATCTAAGAAGCCAGTGGTTTGGTTTCCTGAGTAGGTCAAGGAGCATATTTCCTGCAGGGATTCAGCTATAGTGAGGACCCAAGTGATCACATTCGTGAGTTATCTTTTTCCATATACTCAAATGCCTACTTGTCTGGTTCTGGAGCAGGGAAGTATTTATTGAATTAAACAAATTGGCTTCAGATTTAATAGAGGTTAAAGCTGAAACACTTTTCTGAATGAATAAATTTTACTGTAAGAACACTGGTACGAAATGTAGTAGCAAATAGTTTATAAAATCCAGATGATTTGGGGGAAAGACATCTGGTAGAAATGTGTATATTAAACGTTTAAATGTGGCTTTAGATGAGAAGTGGCTATATAGAAAAATATTTTGTTCACCTACCTTGGCAAAACACAAAAATTCCTTCTGGTAGGAAATTTGGTGAACAGAGAGAGAAGTTTAATTTAATGAGATACATTGAAGTTGATGGCTGTATGGACCATTACAAAACATGTACCTAACATAATCTAAAGGAATTTGAGGTTCTAACCTGCTGTAAACAGAACAGAAGGACTGGATACTGCTGACCTTTGTCTATGTGGATTATCTGTGCTGATTTCCCCCTATACCTTGTAAAAAGAATTCAGGAGATGAAATATCTCCTGTTAAAGCCATAAGGATCCTTGAGGGAATGTGTGCTTTGTCTTTGATTGGATAACAGGAATGAATAAAAACAATCTACCAAGGGGCAGATGTTGTGGCAGAGTGAGTTAAAATACCACTTGGGATAACCACATTCTGTATCAAAATGCCTCCATTTCTGATGCAGCTTCCTGCTCATGTGCCTGGGAGGCAGCAGATGATAGCTCAAGTATTTGGATTCCCACCACTCACGTGAGAGACCCAGATGGACCTCCTGGCTCTTGGCTTCAGCCTGTTCTAGGCTTGGCTGTTACGAGCATTTGGAAAGTAAACCAGTGGATAGAAGATATCTCTTTCTCTCTTTCAAATAAGTTAATAAATCTTTTAAAAGTAAGTATAAAAAATAAAAGAAAGAATACATCAATATGAGAAACTGCCTAGCAAAAGCCAGAAGCCCATGACCAAGCAAACATGATCAGCATGCTATTTTCCAAGGGCTGTCTTCTTGGAGAAGAAAGATCTCTTTTTTTTTTTTTTTTAATTTATTTGCCAGGTAGACTTATAGACAATGAGAGAGAGAGACAGAAAGGTTTTCCTTCCATTGGTTCACTCTCCAAATGGCCACTACAGCCGGCACTGTGCCGATCCGAAGCCAGGAGCCAGGGGCCTCCTCCTGGTCTCCCATGAGGGTGCAGGGCCCAAGCACTTGGGCCATCCTCCACTGCCCTCCCAGGCCACAGCAGAGAGCTGGACTGGAAGAGGAGCAGCCGGGACTAGAACCCAGTGCCCATATGGGATGCCTGTGCCGCAGGTGGAGGATTAACCAAGTGAGCCACAGTGCCAGCCCTGGAGAAGAAAGATCTTTTGAAAAGCATTTATGTATGTGTATGCATAATGGAAGGGCATTTGGGACAGTGCTTAGTAATTTTCACTATCAGACACAAACCATATACCACACCCAGAGGGTCCTCAAGATGTTTGACACCAGTGAAATATTTTGTTGTTCTTTGGATGAATAATTGACACCAGTGAATATTTTGCTGTCCTTTAGATGAACAATCTCCATTCCAAATACACTGAGGTACAGCAACAGTTTTTAAAGATACTGTGTATATTTATCCCAAAGGAGCAGAGGGGGTTTAAGTTGAAACTGAAAAGTGGGCAGCGATATAGACAGCTCCAGGTGGTTGGCAGGTGGTGGAACAACTGAGTGTCAGAGTGTACCCTCTCCTGCCAAGCCCTAGCATACTGTTTCCTTTAAAACCATCTTGCCTATCTGTTGTTTATTGCTTAATGCCAGGCCGTAGTGCAAATGACAGCCTTCTTTGATTTATTAGGAAGAATGAAAGTATTTTGGTTTGGCTGGAAAGAGACAATATAACTGATG